TTGCTGCCAAGACCGTTGTAGAGGAATAGAGAGAGGAGGACAAGGAGCAAGAATACTATCACTGAACTAGGAATATCCATAGATGCAAGAACTAGGAGACAAAATGGAGTCCGATCTTCACTGATACTCTCCCCCTAAATAGAAGGACAAAGTGACCAAAAGAACGGAGTATAATCAAGAAATGTAACATCCTTACACACATACCATCCAACAGTGTGAGGACCCAAAACTTGTACCCCTTTTGGACTAAGGAGTAACCGAAAAAAACATACTTGATAGACTTCGGGTTGAGTTTGAGGCAATGGCTCAAGTTATGAACAAAGCAACTAGAACCAAAGACTTTAAGAGGAAGACAAAAAATGGGATCATTAGGGAAGAGAAGATGATGAGAAGACTGGAGATGAAAAGTTTGTAAGGGAAGTCTATTAATGAGATAAATTGTTGTTTTAACTACATCTCCTCAAAATCGAGTAGGCACACAATGCTCAAAGTATCACAAACGCCAAGTGTATCAAAAAGGCAAGTTTAAGAGACGTATCAACTATCAAGATACGCCTTGGATATGCATGTGTATTGGAGAAAAATTAAGATACGCATAGATATGCATAGAAACACTATAAATACTTCAATAAATCATAAAAATACATCAATAACACTAAATATAAGGCCTCAATGAGGCGTACATACATTAAATTAATATATTTTAATGGTTTTATGAAGAAATACACCGTAGTCAATTATAATTTCATTAAAAAACCCTATGCTTAACTATAATTTATAAATTATAATTCTTAAGTTTTAAGGGATAGGAAAACCCAGCTTTCCTATCCAACCATGAAACATTCATTTTCACAATTTCTAAGTGCAAATATAATTAATAATTATTTCTTATTAAATAATTATTATTTATTTTTTATTTTCATAAATTATAAAAAATAAAAAATAAATAAACATTATATAACATATTCAAAAAATTTTTATTAAAGAAGAAATTTCAATTAAACATAATTTATTATTAATTATTTTTAATTCTAAAATTATAAAAAAAACAAAAATTTATTTAGGAGTAAAGTGCAATTGCTCTATGGATATGATAGATAATCCATAGATCTAGAACATAATAAGTCTTTCTAGGCAGATAAAAAAAATACATTTTCAATTTTTTTGTTATTTTATATTTTTTTCCAAATCTCTTCATAAAATTTCCATAAATCTACTCATAACACATAAAAAATTTGATTTTGAACATATTTAATCTAGATCAACATAGATTTAAATATTTTCAATCATTCAAGGAAAAAATCATAAGATATTATGAAAAATTGAAAAAAAAATTACCTATTTTTGTAATATCTTTCAAAACTTGAAAATTTTTCAAAAACATTGATGATTCACATGTGTATTTTTGCGTTTTCTTTGCATATCTAGCATTTTATGAATGAGATTTGGAGTTTTAGAGTCATTTGGGGGTGAAAGAAGACTTGTTTCAAGGGAAAGAAGCTTTCTTTCCCCTTCGTTCTTAATCACCAAGCTGGAAATGAGAATAAAGTGGCAGATGTTCTAAGTCTGATGCCTTACATACTTCATTCCATGAATGTCCAAGTCATTGGTTTTGATCAACTAAAGCAAGACTATGCTGGTTGTAAGGATTTCATCATCATCTATACTGACTTACAAGCTAGGAAGCAAGATGAGTATCCTTCCTTTTCACTACATAATGGTTATCTGTTTTATGATACCATTGCTATGGTGGAAGATAGGTTTTATTAGCCTAGTTTGAAGAACGATGTTGCTCGTATAATGAACTTATTTCATCCTTCGTCTACAACAGAGTTATTTTCCTCCTGGCCAAGACTTAATGGGTGCAGGAAAGCAAAGATCGTGTGGAGCTGTATCCCTTTTGCGGTCTGCTGGGTCTTATGGAATGAGAGAAATAGAAGATTATTTGAGAACAAACGAAAGAATATTGAAGGTCTTTTAGCTTTGATTGTAAATCTGGTGTCAGATTGGGTTCTGGTGCACCCAGACTTCCTTCAGACTAGCAAAACAGAGATGGGGGAGAATTTTTGGGATGTTCTTGAGTTACAGTCTTGTAATCTTGACCAGTTCTGTTTTTACTGATTTTTCTAGTGCAGTGTAATCAGCTTGTTTTCTAGGTTGGGTGCTATCTTAACCCCCCCGGGTTGTGTGACTCTTTTCTATTTTAATGAAATTTTTATTCTGATTCTTCAAAAAAAATAATAATAAAGCAATGTAGGGCATGCCAACTTGCCAAAGGACGAAAGCATACAATGGTCTATATATACCCCTACCTATTCCTCATGAATCATGGGCCCATGGAAAGATTTATCCATGGATTTTGTCCTTGGATTGCCCAAGACTTCTAGGGTCACAATACAATCTATGTTGTGGTGGATTGTTTCTCCAAAATGGCTCATTTCTTACCTTGCAACAAAACACATGATGCTTAACATATTGCTACTATATTTTTCAAAAAAGTGTTTCGACTTCATGGAGTGCCTTCTACTATCGCATTAGATCAGGACACCAAATTTATGAGTTATTTTTGGAAGACACTTTGGAAACTACTCAGTACTTAGCTGAAATTCTCTACATCGTTTCACCCCCAAAAAGATGGTCAAACTGAGGTAGTGAATAAAAGCTTGGGAGATCTTTTATGGTGTCTAGTCAGTGATCATACTTCTAGATGGGATCTAGTGCTTCCAATAGCTGAGTTTTCTTATAACAGCTCAATAAATAGATCCACAAGAGGAAGTCCATTTGAAGTGGTGATTGGTATTCAGCTTAAGCAGCCAATTGACTTAATTACCTTACCACAAGATGCATGTACTAGCATTGAAGCAAAAGCATTTGCTAGGCACATAAGAGAGATAAATGATGATGTCATGAGAAAAATTGCATTAAGCAATGATTTATACAAGGCTAGAGCTTATATTCATCAACAGTTGGAAAATTATCAAGAGGGAGACATGGTTATGGTATGCATACAACCATAGTGTTTTCCTAAAGGTGTGTACAAGAAGCTACACTCAAAGAGTGCAGGTCCTTACAAAATCATCAAGAAGATAAGTTCTAATGCCTATGTTCTATAGCTGCCAGGTGACATGGGTATTTGTCCTATCTTCAACATCGAGGACTTGACTCCTTATCATGGACATGTAGATCCTTTTAAGACCCATATACCTAAGTTGCCAACTATTGCATCTCTAAATGACATTCTAGAGGATGTTTAGTTGAGAAAATAATATCTACTGCTACAGGAGGGTATCAGAAATTCCTTGTCAAGTAGAAAGGCAGGCCCATGTCTGAGAGTTATTGGATCATTGCTGAAGACTTTCATCATCTCAACCTAGATCTTTATGAGGCATACCATGCTTTTAACTCATCGAGGTCGAGTTCTTTCAAGCCGGGGAGACATGATTGGAATCAATCAGCACTCTTGAAGACTTATTCTACAAAGAAGAAGGCCTTACAACAGGTCCTGATATGGCATAGTGATGGTACTTGGGATTTGGACTGAATTGGACACCAAAGGTATTTTTGTTATTTTACAATTTTTCTGTGGGGTCCAATAATAGGGTTTGATTGTCTATTATAATTTTTTTATGTTTAAAATTTCAGTCATTGAATAAGTAGGATTAGAGTTATTGAGTCTTCTTTGAATTAAAATGGGATATGACAGCTTAGTTTGAGTTCTACTAGGATTATTGAGTCTAACAGTTGGACTCCTAGGACTATCATTATGAGTAACAATTTGACTCCTAGGTTTATTATGAGTTTAGAGTCTATATATATGTGTGGACGTTTTACACAAAGGACAATGAAGTTTATTGAGTTTTCTTCAGCTTATACTAACTATGGTGAGTGATTCTAGGCACCTTGTGAGTGATTACAGCCATCAACAGCCATAAAATTCTGATCAAAGAAGACCATTCAACAATCTCTAAGGACTAGAACTGAGCTGGTCCTACATCACAAGGTCCAAAAAGAGAGGAAAAGGAAGAAGAGAGAAGAAACAAGGTCCAGGGGAGGGAGAGAGAGAGAGAGAGATTTGAACTGCCTTCTCCCTCCTATCAACCTTTGTTTTATTAAGCTTCTAATAAAGACAAAAGTCACTACAGTACACTCCAAGAGTTACATATAACATAAGGCTAAGAAACAAAAGGGAAAAGACAATATTGCCCCTGCAGCTTAAACTTTAACACTCTGAACCAAACCAGACTTGGTCACCCTCTACAACTATTCCTTGTAATTCTACCTATTTCATTAATAAAAGTATTTTTAACCATTTCTATCATTAATAAAAGTAATTCTTATTTATCATACTTATTTTTGTTTTATGTAATGAATATGATCTGCCCAATTTTTCTACACTTTGTATTTTCTATAACTTCTTGTATTTTTAAATATTTTTATCTTTTTTATTACTTAATTATGATGTCAGTTGATTTGTTTGACACATATGGTTGAACCATTGACCCACTACCATGGAAAAAAGGTTCTATTTTCAGGTCATTTTTTAAAACACTGGTTTCTAGTTCTAGATCACCCTATACCCATCCTAAACCTCCCAAAGTCATCCTTTGGCCATTCTAGTCCCACATCAATTTGGTATCGAAGTAGGTAATACATCTCTCCTGTTTGCCATGACTTGACCTTCAGTGGGTCATAATACCATGATTGAATGGATAATTTTTTGTATTACCGTGCAATCTTGATCACTTGTTAGGAAAATTGGTCTACAAGAAGCATAAATTAGCAATATATTGGTTAATTATTACTGCTTTTTATTTAGCCATGCTAATTACCTGTTAAAGAATTCTTGGCACTATAGGAATCTAGGAAGCAAATATTGTATTTAGTGGACCATTTTTTCTTGTGGTTGGACATAGAAATTTCTTGTTCCTTATATTCTAGTTTGGAGGGTTACGCTACTGTTTGATAAATATCCAAATATATTTGTTTCCCTTGGTTACCAGGTTCTTTGTGGGCTATGGGCTTGAGCTGTCCCGGTTAGTTCCTCTGATAATCTACTACCTTAAGAGAAAGTTTCTCTGTAAAACTGAAGCAGAATTCAAAGAGGCTTGGGCTCCTGGAGATCTTGGTTATGCAACAAGGGTTCCCAATGATATGCTTATCATAACGATCGTCATCTGCTACTCTGTAATAACTCCTATCATCATTCCCTTTGGCATGGCGTACTTCAGCCTTGGATGGCTTATTGTTAGGAATCAGGCAAGTCTAGAACTTTCAATGCGTTTTGGGTTCTAAATTCTAGAAACAATTGAAATCTGCTTTCACAATCCTCAACATGCTAGAATAAATATTAATGCAGTTTCTCAGCCATTATGTACAAGTCTAGAACAACCTAAGTGCTACAGTTTTAGGTAAATTCTAGGTAATAAATTTATGATTGTAGATTTGGTCACTCTAACTGGAAAGTCTGTTGATATCAAATTTAGAGATAAGCCCGTGACTTGGTGGTGATACTCTAGGTCAAATGTCAATCCAGTAAAATGAATCCGTCAGTCCCTTGAACAACTAAGGGTTTGTTTGGTTCGCAGTCAGAATCAAAATCGGAATTGGAATGGTCTATTCCCATTCCCATAGTCTGTTTGGTTCAGACAAGAATAGGAATGGAAATTAGAATCAACTGGAATGGGACTTCATTCCCAAGGGAGGGGGAGGGAATGGTCATTCCCTCAAATGGGAGAATTCCATTCCACCAGGAATAGGAATGGGATTCCAATTCCGCCCAATCAAATAATTGGAATCAGAATGGCCCATTCCAATTCCGATTCTAAACCTCTATTCCCACAAACCAAACGGGACCTAAAAGACATTATACTTTTCCTGGATTGACATTAAAAGGGCCATCACTTAATACTGGTCCCAGCTATCTGGTCCTGAGAGAGGTGGAGTAGATACAGGACCCACCTATTAAGTGGCCCTTCTTGGACTTGAACCTGAATTTTCATGTTTGTCAACCTGAGATCTTACAATTGCAACATTCCAGAAGAAAATGGATGGGTGATTGGATATGATCCATTTGTCCAGACCAATATATTAGTGGTAATTCTTCAGAGGAAGTGCTGCTGGTAATGATATCCTCGTTAGGTATCTCTAAGAATGGGTGTTAATCAGTTCTTTGTCTGATTTCCCAACATTAATCTAAGATTCTTTTCTTGTACAGGCTCTCAAAGTTTATGTTCCATCATATGAGAGCTATGGACGGATGTGGCCCCACATGCATTCACGTATTCTTGCAGCTCTGATTGTGTACCAAATTACCATGCTTGGTTACTTTGGAGTGAAGATATTCCCGTTCACACCTCTTCTGATACCCCTTCCTGTACTGTCCTTAGTCTTTGCTTTTGTCTGCTCAAAGAAATTCTACAAATCCTTCCGCTACACACCTTTAGAAGTTGCCTGTCTGGAATTAAAGGAGATGCCAAACATGGAGACTATCTTCAGGGAATATATACCACCTTGTTTGAGATCAGATAAATTCGAGATTGATGAGCACTTCGAAGATGCCCGTTCATCTCAAGATTTTAGAACAATATCATTTGTTTAATTTAAACATTTTGCAACTTTTATAGTTGTATTTGGCCCACATTATGTATTATTTGACATCTTATAGCATGGAAGCCCCTCTAACACTCAGATTGTTAATATTCTGCTCTCAGAACCATCTGTTTTAGGTAAATTTGATTGTGAAGAATTTTTATTTAATTTTGTTTTTCACCAGTTCCAATGTGAAAGATGTCGGTATGTTTTGGTGCAACGTGTACTAGTTCCATTTAATTCTATCATTTCTCAAACAACTGATGCATCATTTTTCGCTGAAACAGCTCGATAACAGCAAAGGACCCATTTGGGAGGGCTGAGTTGGTTCACCCAAGCTGGTTTAGATGTTTAAAAGAAGCCATTTTGGTTCAGCTGCATAAATAACATTAAGCTATGTTTGTTGATAACTTTCTTAGCTGCCTAAGAAGTCAGAAGTCAGAGAAGTCGGATAATCTTGGCAAGGCGCTCTGAATGAGCTATTCAAAGAGGCTGGAGTAGACAGCCCTTCAGCTCACCGATCAATACCTGATTTCATTCTCCAGAATTTTCACCAAACATAGCTTATAGGTTGTCTTTCTGGGCCCCGCACATGGACAGCCAGAAGCCACTGTGCTTCAGCCCTCCCAAACAGGCACCAAGTGGCTGAACTGAATGGTTTATTATTCTGTCTGTTAGTAAGTTTTTAAGGATACTGTGAGCTTCTTAATGGCCGAAGCTGAAAGTGGGTTAATTACCATACCCTTGAATATTTTATTATTTTATCCACCAAAAGACAAAGAACTATGTCATTCTGTTCAGCCATCCGAGTTGTTATGGCCCAGTTTGGAAGGAGTACAAATGCAAATATGTAGAGTGCAAAACCTTGTATTTTGTATGTACTCTACATATTTGTATTTGTATTCCTTCCAAACTGAGCTTATAAAACAGCAAATGCATCAATTTATCGTAGAAAACAAAAAGGTTCTTTCTGCTTAAAAATAACAAAGGAACCAAGTTTGACCGACATGATTAAGCACTTCAACTTCCAATAGAATTATTTTTTCCAACCATTTCCATCTTCAATTAACTTGTCTGCACTGGTTGATAATATGCCATTCAGATAATTTCCAACGGTGCAGATTGTAAAACTATTTCCAGGAAAACTTAAATCAAAATATCATCATTCATGGATTTCTCAAAGAGAAATTAGTGATTTACCCCAGTGGTTCTTCAAGCTCTCCAGAAAAATGTTGATAGATAATATGGTTAGAGCCATCCAATCTGGATAATTATGGTGTGACAGTAAGTGAAAAAGAATTGAATACCGATCCATCTCCATTCATGCATAATTCATTATGTAACACTTCCTCTCTTTTATATCTCTTGCAATTTGGCAGGTTTCCCTATGCAAAGAGTAAAAACTATAAACAGTTTGAGTTTCACCATGCCGTTGGATCTCTAAACAGTTTCTGAGGCTGCCTGCTAAGTGTTATCAATTAAGAGAGACAACAAGCAGGGGGTGCACTTCTGTAGCTGGAAAATGACATTGGCCAAATAATCTCCAGGAAGTAAAAATCCCTTCAAAAACCACTCTATAAAAAATGATATCAACCTCGCAAATGTCTATGCTGGAAGAGTATGAAACCGGAAGAACATATGCCTTTCTAGTGTCATACTTGGACTCACAAAAAATAACCATATGGTGAGGCTTCATAGAAGAATTTTCCACACACACACACACAATACGCATATATGAATAACACCATAGATGGTTAGAAAATAAGGGTAGCCCTCCATGCTTCATCATTCTGGAACTTCACTTATTTACTAAGAAAATAAGAGGAGAAACAACCTCTTTCTTTTAGTAGAACATGGAAGAAAAGATGCTACACAGACAGGGTAGCCCTCCCTAAGAGTCCATAAATAAAATATGTAAAGCTCTCTCTTAATGCTAGAAAGGTTAATTACTGGAATGGCCACAATGAACAATCCAATCTGCAGTTTGATTTGCTTCTCTCCTCCACACAGTCAATGACGAGCTTCGAGTCTCCCTCCACTATAATCTTCTTGAAGCTGAATTTAGTTGCAAGGATATGGACTTCTCTTGCTACCTAAGCTTCAGTAACACAAATACTAATAGCCCAGCCTAGCCAAGGGAATACATGTTGGATAAGACCAGACAAGTAGTTGCAATTCAATAAATTTATTGATCTGAAAGTATTTGCAAGAATCAAGATTCAAGTGGGTCCTTAATGAACTAAGCAATACTATGTCCATCTTTCTCGAGCATCTCTTTGCTCCATAGCCCCCCTAATCTTGCAATCAAAATCATTAATTCACGCAACATATCTTTATGGAATCTTTGTGAAATCATGTATATATCATGTATAATATTGATTATGAATAAGGTTTACAACAGGTTTTTTTTTTTTTTTTTTTTTTTGGGGGGTTCTATATACTTTAGAGGTTTACCACAGTATTATATACATCATGCATGTTCAATGTACAAAATCCTTGAAAAGTTGATAGATGCCTTCACTTCGTTCCTCATTAATTGTTTCTGCCTTTCTGGGCATCTCACCAGAAGCTTGAGTACTTGATTCTCTTGAAGGTGAGGGTATGTCTTCAGGATCTCTTTTGGGCTTAACCCATCTCCCATAGGAGTTGAGAACTAGCCCCTTGTAGGCCAACTGGTACCACAACTGTGGAATCCTTTGCTCATCTACCAAGAACCCAGAAGCCTTGTTCACCAGTGCAATATCTCTTTTAGCATCAGCCCGGAATCTGGAGGTGGCACTGAGGTAGCCATCGACCAGATGGAGGTATGTCTCAAGGTTGTGGAACCCCAGCAAATCGAATCCACGCTTCAGGTAAGGTGATGCAGTTACATCAAGCTTCAGCTCAGTCCCTACATGTGTGTAGACCCATTCTAATGGCCCAGTAAGTTCATCAAACTTCTCAAGACCCTCATTGAGCATAAGACCAGGCATCTTAGGAACCACATCTTGCTTCAACTACAACACGCAATGTCTTCACTCCCATCTCATGAAGCTTTTCTCTGAAAGCAATGTTGCCAACTCGTGGTGCCCCAAAGGAGATGACACTGATATGGAGGTCAGGGAGAGAGGAGGCAGTTTCATAAGCATTAAGGAGAGCCAAAGCACCGCCCAGGCTGTGGCCGGTAACGGTCAGGCTCACCTCTTCACCTCTGTCTCTGTAAAGGCTAACCAGTCTTCTTACTTCTTTCTTCACTTGTTCTGAAGCGCTTGACTTGTTATATCTAGTAGAGTCACTCTTAGAGGTGTAGATGCTGAGGAAACCATGCTCAACTCTCACGTCCCCATCTCCAATTGGCTCTAGCTTCCTCTGAAAATCCTCGTCCACTCTGAAGGTGCCACAGTCCCACGCCAAGCCACCACGATGTCTCTTCTGCCAATCCTACGCGACTCCTCGTCATCACTAACTGCAACGAATCCCATCCAGTTGGAATCCTTGCTCTATGTTTCATCCACCAAATGGGACCTCTGCAACCAACGAGGCATTTCTATGTGGGACATGGCGAAGATGTACTTGCTGACCATGTACCCACTCTTACTAAGTCCTAACTTGTCAAAAAGCTTCTTGGGGTTGTACCTGCAACTCCCACAATACTCGGAGAATGAGTCAAAGTCGAAAGCATCATATGCGGCCTGAGCAAATTCCCCATATTTGATGATCTCCCGCCGGAGCCAAGGGTGGAGTGGATCCAAGAGGTTGCTCCAATCCCATGATCCATGAATTTCAAGCCATTTTGCAGATATGTCTTCCTTGGGGGATGATGTTGGGGTCGTCCCACTGCCATGGTCGAGAGAAATCTGATCTACATGGTGAAGCTCCTTACGCTCTATGTGTAGATGGAGGAAATTTGAGAGTGATTCAGCAAGACGGCCGGTGGTGACACGGTTGCTTTTCTCATGCTGATGGGGTGGCTCGATGGCAATGCTTTGATGGGCATGGATCAGGCACCGGCGGTTTGAGGTGGCGACGTTGCCAGAGACAGGAAGATGTTGATAAATGATTGATGATGATATGACCTGCATGAGTGTTCAAACTAATTCCTAAGAAGATAAATGATCTGTTAGCTATAGCCTATAGGAAGAGTTGGGCTTTTGGATTTTGGAGCTTTGAGAGGTTGAAGACTGAAGTAGAGGATGGAGAGACGGGAGAGGGGATATATATACATAGGAGGAGGGGATGGTGGGAGTCTTGAGATGAAGATTCAAGGATTGCACAGTTTTGACTTTGAACGTTCAAAGCTTGAACAGATGCTGAAAAGTGAGAACCCACGAAGGTTGAAATTCAATCTTAGGTAAATTACAAAGACCCCCCTGTATTGGGGTCTGTGACAAAAAATCTCTTGTATTATGACCGTGAGACAAAGATTACATTCCGTTAGCTTTCTGTGCAAAAAACCATTGTAATATTTTTTAATCCACTATTCGAACAAGAAAAATATTGTTCATCTTCCCGAACCTCACTACTCTCCCTCTTTCTCCCAATCTCTCTTCTTCCCCTTTCCATTAACAACGTCGAGATTGAACCCATTTTTACGAGTTTGGTGCAATTTTGCTAAACGAGTGAGAGGTGATACAAAGCTAGCGCCGAGTCGTGTCGAACCCGCTCGCTTTCGAACCCAAGCAGGTGCAGAAGCGGCGGCAACGGCCCTATCGCCGTTTTGTTTCTGTAACTCTGTTCCCTTTACGGGTTTTATTCCTCAGTACCAACAGCAGGACTCGTAACCAACCTCCCACATTTCTCTCGTTTCTCCCCCCTGTTTTTCTCTCAAGTCGTTAACAGCAGCGGGAAACTACTTCAAACAACCGAACCAGAGGGCGGAAGACGTGAGAGAGCTCGCTCAACTGAACACCAACCCATCGAGAGTGGGGCAGCAACTGGTTCGGCGGAAGTTCAGAGGGGGCAACAACTGGTTCGGCGGTGACAGAGGTTGCGACAACTGTGGGAAGGAGCTGAAATAGAAAGAGAAAACGAATCCGCTGTCGTGGAAATCGATGACGGGTTTGAAGGCGGAGGCGGCGGTGAAAGTGGAGGAGGACATCTTCAAAAGAGGGACGCCGCTGCAACCCTTCGCCGGTGGAAGCGGAGGCGTCGATGACGGGTTCGAATCCGCCGCCGCTGCAATCCTCTGATCTCTGATCCCCCCATCTACCGTTGCTTGGACCTAAGCTGCATACTGCAAGTTCCAGAGGACATCTTCAAAAGAGGGACGGCTGGATGATTTTTCAGAACAAGTGGTGAGGACAACTGAAATAGAGGTCGCGGCAGCGATGGAAGTCGGCGACGGGTTTGAAGGCAGAGGCAGCGGTGGAAGTGGAGGAGGACATCTTCAAAAGAATTCGCCGCTGCAATCCTCCGCCGATGGAAGTGGAGGCGTCGGTGACGGGTTTGAATCCGCCATTCCTCATAATGCCCACTCCACCCTGCATGCTACTACCAATCTCGATTTGGGCAGGATAGACCGAGAACTGTGGGCAGCTCTCATCGCTCGTGACATCAGAGCAGGATGTGGCAAAGCCACTCCTCTGTCCTTCCGTTTCGGAGAGTTGGGAGAAAAGGGAAAATAATATGTTAAATAGGTTTTAAGAGAAAAAGGGAAAAAAATAGAAATAAAAAAAGTTTAGTGAGGTATTTTAATAATTTAGCATATTTCGTTATCTGACTTAACGATTAAGGGATCTTTGTCTCACGGTAGGTCTTTATCACAAAACAAAGTATAAGGGGTCTTTATCACAGACCCCAGGGATTTTTATAATTTACCCTTCAATGTTTAATATATCTGACCATCGGTGATTGTGATTCCCAAATTACCCCTGATGTGGAGAAAATTGCCACCAATTTGTCTAAGCATTTTAGCAATATTTGTTTGATACAGAAGATGGATATTGTGGTAATTTAATCGCTCCGACTTACTCGGTCCTGGGAAGGGTTGGCTTCCAGCTGGCAAGAAGATCGACTTGTCTTGACGTTTGACTTCAAAGACGCGCTGTGAACTTGGAGCTAGCGCTTATTTGGTCTATGAATCCGTGATGTCTTGCTCTTTTATCCTTTCATACCTACTCAATAACTAGAAAATAATACAAGTAAAAATAGAATATTTTTTTAAATAATTCTGGGTCGGGTCCAAAGTGCCCGAACACATTACTTGGGTCGGGTCGGAGTAGGATCCAAACTTTTATGCTTGCCTAAGAGTTGATATTAATCTGTCCAGGTCCAACAAAGATTAGGTGGGTCGGTGAGGATTAAACAGCCGCTGGAAACCATTAAAATATAAAATTAACTATTTATATTAAATTATAATAAATTTTAATTAGTATAATACAATTAGGGTCCGTTTGGTTTGCATTCGGAATTTTCTTTCTCCAACACCTCAATCGGTCAGAGGCACAAAGCTAGACTAAAACTGTACACATTCTGCAGTATTTTGATAAAGCAGATTTCTATGAACAAACCAAGCTATACGTTCAAATTAAACATACCAAATAATGAGGAACATCTGAAAATGTAAAGAAAATTTGTCTAAAACTCACCATGAGTTTTCAACATTTCTCTTAAACTCACCACAACTTTTTAAAATGTTTAAAATTCACCATGTCAGTAAGTTTTTATTTTCCAAAACTCACCTTCCGTTAGTGCACCATTAATGCTTCTTAACAGAGGTGTCTATGTCAGCATAAATAACAATTTTCATGACCAAATTACCCTTGAATGGTGAGTTAGAGGAAAAATGGTCCATTTCAGTTTTCAATTTTCTTTTTTTTTTTTGCATTTTTAGTGTTTTGTTATAATTTCTATTTTTTTACATTTTTTCTATTTTCTACAATCTATAAATTTTCCTGTATTTTTTGTTATTTATTTGCAATTTTTTGTGTTTTTCTATAATTTTTGGTGTTTTTTCTACAATTTTTATTTTCTGATTTTGTTTTTCAATTTCTATAGTTTCTATAATTTGAAAATAATTTTTTATTTTGTTTGCATTTTTATAATTTTTTATATTTTTTGTAATTTCTATGTTTTTATGTATTTTATATTTGAAAATATTTTTTTGAACTTTTTCCTTTTTTCATGTCTAAATATTAAATGGTAATATATTAACACCTGTTAATTTATTTTGTATATATTTTATATTTTTGTATGAAGGTTAAAATGGTAATATATTAACACTGTCAGTCTTTCTAAGGTCAAGTTAGTGACATGGTGAGTTTAAGAGAAGTACTGAAAACTCATGGTGAGTTTTAGACAATTTTCCAAATGTAAATAAATAATTATGCATAGAGAGAAACAAGCATGTAAGTAGGTTGAAGCCAATATCAAAAGGTAAAATACACAAGGTTAATCTATAAGCAGTACAAAATCAAACCAGACCTCATGTTCCAACTTCAATTCACTTCGATAGTGTCTACTAGCACATATAATTTCTATCCATGTCTAATAGCATCACACTTGGATTCAAATATACATATCTAAAGGGTAAAAACTACAATGGTTCTACAAAAGAACTCACACCAATGGTCTTGCAGATTTTTCTAGGATCATTAGGATCCTCAAATGGATATGCTCCAACCAACATTACATAAATTGTCACACCACACGACCAAACATCTGCAATCTGCAAATGAAGAAATGCCAAAAATAAAAATAAAAAACCATGAATGTTATAGGTAAAAAACCTAGATCAATGATATAAACATTACATGCATCTCTTTAATTACTAAAACCATCTTTGAGTTTTGTTTTGTAATGGAAAACTCATTCCTGAGGTTGTAATGAAAGACATATTTAGGTAAGTGAACAACACAGGCTTCCAGGCCATTTAAAATATTAAAATCCAAACTACAATCTGAAAAGTTTTTTTTTTTTTTTTTTTATCACACCTTTGTTGAAAAAAATCAAGTTATGAATTTTCTGGTGATGTGAATATTGAACACATGGTCATACAATAAGAAAAGTAGGATTATCCACATTTCCTTCAAGCTGAGGTCCACCTTACTACCCTATGACTAGTATAGTAGTATGAGCTGTATTTCTTCCCCCCACTAGTCCACCACCCAAAAGAAAAAAAAAAAAGGAAAAGAAAAAGCCTCTCCTAAACTGGTTTGCAAAAATATCAGTGAAATGATAATGGATGAGATGGTTTTGATGAAATGTACGTAATTGCATGTTTGGACCATCACCCAAGTATTGTTCATATTTTTTTTTTAGATTCATATGATATCGGATTGAATCGGATATCGAACTTTTTATCGAACCAAATTCAGATATCCATCCGTTTGCGTTCCAATATTCAGAGAGGGTAGGGGTGCTAATGGTTCGCTTATAGGGTTTTTTTTTGAAACTAAACCAGTCCCATCAGTTTTTTCATATCCCCAAACTGATACCACTGGTTAATCGGTTGATCAATTTTGGTTTTTGATATAACATATACTATATATATAATATTATATATAATGAATGACATATAATATATTAAAAATACTATAAATATATACTATATGTAATATATTTATAATATATTATATATTTTAAATAGATAAATATAAACAAATAATTATAAATATAATATATGTATATATTTATATATAATATATAGATAATATGTGAGATATATTAAAAATATATATAATATACATATAAATACATATATCCATCGGTTCAGTTAATTGCTGATTTTTTCTAAATTAACCGAAAATTAAACCGGTCTTCCAGTTTTTAAAAAATATCGAACCGAAACCGAACCGATCGATTCGATTAACCGTATTTTTCCGTTCGGTTCGATTTTTTCGGTTTCTTATGAGCACCAGGGGACGGAGGAAACTACCAACTCGCAAACGGAGGGGTGAATGGTCGCTTATGAACTGCTAAACTGTAGTGGTTTCAGTGGTAATGGAGCGTCTCTCCCTCTCCGGCTTTCTCACTTGCCCCTTATCTCAGACGCTGAAATCCAGGGTTAGGGTTTTGTCACAAACAATTCCCTCCACTCACCTGCAATCGTCTTTCCCCTTCTTCTCCACATACCAGACCAAGCAAAAACAGATGGAAACTCAGAGAATGATCTCTTGTGCCTCTCAGGGTGGAGAAAACGGCTTCACAACAACAACAGCTCCCAACGCAGGCAACTCTTGGTTTCTAAGAAATTATGGGTTTTGTTGGTCTTGTTTTCTTCTTCTAATCGGCTTGAACTATAACCATTGTCCTTTTTAGTCTCCGTAGGTCGAATTGCAGAGGTCAAGAGAGTTACTAAAGAAACAAATGTATTTGTGAAACTAAACTTGGATGGTTCCGGAATCGCCGATAGCAGTACTGGAATTCCTTTTCTTGATCACATGCTGGATGTGAGTGATTCCTGACTCTTTATTTGGTAGATTTAATTCTGCATTTCAATATGTTTTGAGGTCTTTCAAACACCCTGTAACAGCTTGGAAAACTAATATTCCGGTAATTTGTTCTATTTCTTGTGTTTTGACTCAGCAACTTGCGTCGCATGGGCTGTTTGATGTGCATGTAAGGGCTACCGGTGACATTCATATTGATGACCATCATACAAATGAAGATGTTGCCCTTGCTATTGGAACGGTAATTACCTATCTGCATTATACGCATAATTGCATATTGGAAATTTCTCCAAAATTGTTTGCTCGCCATTTGATTTCTCAGGAGTCATTGGTTTGCATTGCTTGGTGTTGCAGACATTGCTTCAGGCACTTGGAGATAGGAAAGGAATTAACCGGTTTGGAGACTTTTCAGCTCCACTCGATGAAGCTCTCATACATGTTTCACTGGTATAATACTAGGTTTGGATTTGCCATAATTTGATTGTTAGTGATTTCTATTTATAATATATGATATTTCTTTGAAGCAATAAATAATTTTTAATTGTTATGGAGCATTAGAAGTGAAGGTCGGGTCCTATGCTTTTATTTATTCTTTTTTTTGAGAAAATGATAACTGTGTTAAGGAAACAAAAGACGTACTTGAGGGGATGTACCAAATAAACAGTAACTACAAAAAAAAAAGCGAAGGTATAAAGCTTTCACTGTACAAAATGTCATGCCCACCCGAAATATAGCTAAACTCCCAGCTATAGAATTTGCACAACTTGGTATCCACCACACTTGCACTCTTATCCAGCTGCAATTTCCCTTGATTTCATTTAGGTAGTGAAAAGATTCTAAAGCCTGCTTCCTTTAGTCCGGGAGGGTGACTGTGCAAATTTCCTTCAATGGTGAGGTAGGAAACATGCACATGCTTAGTTGGGTGGATGCCCGAGAAGAGCTCTCACTTTTGCCTTTGAAGAGTTTGGCTCCCCAGTGTAGCTGCTGAATGCCCAAAGAACAGATCCATCTCCTTTGTAAAAGATACCTTCAATGCCTGCATGCCTATTGAACATTAAGCTACCATCAAGCTTAAGAAGGTTCTCCATCTGGTGGATGGAGGGTGACTGTATGTCTACCTAGCTTGTTAGAGAAGACTATACTATAGAGGACTGCCAATAAGTGCCTTCTCATGTCATTCGTTGAAGATCCTTTGAAGTTGTCCATGGCTAGTATCTAAGATATAATGAGGTGAAAGACCTGTCTACACAAACTCACAAAGGATTACTCTTTTGAATCAAAGAATCTTTTTTTCTTTCTTTCCACACAGACTACATAACCACATGGATGATACTTTCTAGTACGTCTTTCCTCTAGTTCAAAGCTTAACATCCTTCCATTGATGGGGCATGTTAGTAACATTCCTTAGGGCCATCCAATGAAAACCAGTCTGATTTGTGAATAAATACTATAGCCATCTAGTCTCAAAGCAGAAGAGGTGAGTGGTCAACTCCCCTTTTTTTTATCTTTTAGATAGTAAAGTTTTATTTATTTATTTTTGATAGGCAACAGTATGTATTTAATAGCTATAAAGCTTCAAGTAAACTCCACTTGCTCTAAACTGGAGTGCTAGACAGATTTCTAGTGTCAGTTAAGTAAAGGAACAATTGGTGGAGGAATCAAATGGTGGAAGACAAAGGGTTACCTCAAGCACGAGGAGATTTAACATCTTCATTGAGGATCATGGGTTAAGGGACATCCTGTTAGGTCAATCTTGCTTTACTTGGTCTAATCTTCAAGCTAACCCTATATGTTCTAGACTGGACAGATTCTTGATGTTTCTTGACTGGGAAGAACACTGTCTGAATTTGATGGGAAAAACATTGCCTCAAGTTACTTCAGATCACTGGCCAATTTGCTTATTTCAAAGATCCAATGCTGGAGGTCCAATTCCCTTTAGATTTGAGAATATGTGGGTTACTCATCCAGAATTCAAAGAAAAGGTCAAGGAGTGGTGGGTTACCCACATACCATAGCCTATGTGGGAAAGTCAGAAATTTCTAAAGAAGTTGCAGATCTTGAAGGGAGAAATTAAAGAATGGAACATACTTGAGTTTGGGAGATTGGAAGAGAAAAAAGCCAGAATTATTTCGCAAATTGAGGAGATTGATAGGAAGGAGATGCAAGGTGGTTTAGACAGTCATGATAGGGAGAGAAGATTGTCTCTAAAAAAGGAGCTTGAGATTACCTTATTGAGAGAGGAGACCAGTTGGAAGCAAAAACCAAGGGAGAGATGGATTAAGAAAGGGGATGGAAACACAAAATATTTCCATGCTTTAGCTAATGGTAGAAAAAGAAAGAGTTCAATATCATCTTTAGTTGGGGGGGGGGGGTTCAATTAACAGATCAAGGTGAAATTGTCAAGGCCTTTGCAGATCAGTTCAGATCAATTTATCGTAGGTCAATCAATGAGAGATGGTCTTTGGATGGGCTTGAATGGGATTTGTTTGTAAGAAAATCAAGTGGAAATGCTGGAAAAAAGGTTTGAGGAGGTTGAAATTATGGAAGCAGTGTTCTCCATGGATAGATTTAAGGCTCTTGGGCCTGATGGATTCACAATGGCTTTTTATCAAGATTGTTGGGAGGTAATTAAAGATGATCTGATTGAAGTTTTTAGGGAGTTCCACAGTAGGGGAGTAATCAGCCCAGGAATGAATTTAACCTTTTTAGCCTTGATTCCAAAGAAGAAAGATGCAACTCATCTAGGGGATTTCAGACCTATAAGCCTTGTTACTAGTATCTATAAGATAATTGCCAAGGTGCTTTCTTTGAGGCTTAAGAAGGTCCTCCCCCCCTCTCATTTCCCAGTTCCAAGGGGCTTTTATCCAGGACAGTCAGATTGTTGATCAGATTCTAATTGCAAATGAATGTTTGGAGGCTCAAAAAAGGTTAAAGAAGAAAGGAATAGCAATCAAATTGGATTTGGAGAAAGCTTATGATTTGGTGGATTGGGGTTTCTTCTTGATCAACATTACGAGGAGATGTGACTTTGGGGATTTATGGTGTAAATGGATCAGAGGTTGCTTAGAAACAATCCACTTTTCTGTTATAGTATGGGTCGGCAATTGATTTCATTGAGGGGCTTAGAGGCCTTAGACAAGGTGATCCACTCTCTCCCTTTCTGTTCACTCTGATAATTGAAGTCTTAAGTAAGCTAATCTCTAAGGCTAACTTATGGAGCTGGTTAAGAGTTGGGTAATTGGAAGAAATAGAGTTCTGGTCTCCCACTTACAATTTGCAGATGATATCTTTATTTTTTGTGATGGGGAAGGCAGAGAAGGGATGTAAAACTTGAAGCTAGTAGTGAAGCTCTTTGAAAGGATCTCTAACTTGAAAATCAATTGGTCTAAAGGTGTATTAGCCGGAATCAACTTGAGGGATGAAGCTTTGAGAGAACAGATTCTTTGGTTTGTATGAAAGGAGATTGGCCTTTGTGTTACTTAGGATTATCCCTTGGTGGCAACCCTAGATTTGTTAGTTTTGGGACCTCAGTAGTGGAGAGATTTGAGAAGAGGCTAGCAAGCTGGAAAAGGAATTATATTTCATTGAGAGGGAGAATAACATTGATCAAATCCACTTTAACAAATCTCCAAGTGTACTTCATGTCAATTTTTGAATGCCCCAAGCAGTAGTAGAAAATATTGAAAAGATTATGAGAGATTTCCTTTGGGAGCTCAGGGAGGGGAAGAAAGACCACTTGATTAGCTGGGATAAGGTGGTAAAGTTGAAGGAGGAAGGGGGATTGGGTGTTAGAAATGTTAGGTTGAAAAAGTTGGCTTTATTGAGTATATGGCTTTGGGGGTTCCCTAAAGAAAATGAGAGGTTATGGAGTAAAGTTATCTTAAGTATCCATGGATTGTCAAACAATGGGTGGGATGCAGGCTGCTTGCATAGAGCTACTTTGGCTGCTCCTTGGAAGGCTATCCATGACATTCTTCCAGTGTTCCTCACTCATATAAGGTATGATTTGGCTTTGGGTAAGAGAATAAGGTTTTGGGAGGATATCTAGACAGGGGAATCCCCCTTGTCTGAGATTTTTCCATCTCTTTTTGAGCTTTCTAGTTTTAAAGGAAAGCCAGTGTGTCATTTTATCAGCTCGTCCTCTTCCCAATTAGGCTTGAATTGGAACCTGGGCTTTACTAGAAATCTTAGGGAGTCGGAAATTCTCAATGTTTCTGCTTTGCTTAGCATGTTGAATTCAATGATCTTAGTGGATGGTGGTTCAGATTCCAAAGTGTGGGCACTTAATCACTCTGGTGTATATTCTTGCAAATCCTTTTTAAACTCTCTTGTTGCTACCTCCCATTCTCAGTCTTTCCCTGTTAAGGAAGTATGGTCTCTGCCTATTCCTCTAAAGGTCAATGCTCTCTGTTGGGAAGTGTTCCATGGTTCTATTAATACCTGTGATATGCTCTAGGGAAAGAGACCAAACTGGTGCTTGTCCCCTAACTGGTGCTCCTTATGTAAGTTGCATTGTGAGACTGCTTTTCATCTTCTAATTTCTTGTCCTTTTGCTATCTCTATTTGGGAGTTTTTTTTGTCTCTTTTTGGTTGCAGGTGGCTCTCTCCTGATAACTTGGAAGGATTATTTAACTCTAATCTATTTAGTTGCTCTAAAAGAAGAGGCAGGATTTTGGGGAGATGCACTAGAGCAGCAGTGATATGGACAATTTGGGAAGAAAGGAGTTTAATAATCTTTGAAGACAAAGAAAGGAGCAAGGAAGCTGTGTTAGACATTATAATCTTAAGGGTGGCACATTGGGTGAAAACCTTAAAGCTTTTTGCAGTCTTTAAAGTTGAAGATTTTTTTAGCTCATGGTGATCAATTGTTCACTCATCATCTTGAAGACAAAAAATAATTGAGGTTTGTTCACCTCCATGTTCTGGATGGAAGAAATTAAATTTTGATGGCAGCTGCATGTGCAATCCTGGACCTTCGGTTATTGGTGGGGTAGTCAGGGAGGAAAATGAAAATATTCTAGTCATGTTTTCAGGACCTATTCAGCATGGAGATGTGGTGAGATCTGAACTGTTGGCAGCTGTGTATGGGGTGGAGAAAGCTAAAGAATTGGGGATTGGCAGATTAATTATTGAAGGTGATTCCAAAATTGTTGTGGACCGGTTGAAAAAGGGGGAAGGAGTAATATGGCAGTTAAAGAATGAATTCAGATGTTTCAAGCAGGTTTCTAAAGATATGATAATCCAAATAAAAGTGGATTAGAAGATCTGCAAAACAGTGTGGCAGATGGGTTGGCTAAACGTGGAATTCAGAGACAGTCCATGTTTTGGTTGGGCTGTTTTGTAAATATTGATAGTGGTTTTGGGCTTTATCTTTGCCCACAACTCCTTATTGTACTCCTTTTTATAATTAATAAATCCTTTTTTGTGTTGCTGATAAAAAAAGAAAA